CTAGTGTAGCTATTAAAGCAATCAGTATGAAAGTTTCCCAAAAGAAGACAAAATACTTAAATGATCTAGGTAGCAGCTCACACCTGTAATTCTAGCTACTTGAGGGCTGAGTACCTGTGATTTAGGTAATTGGGAAAGTAAATAAGCTGGCCCAGATGTAAATTCAAAACCCTGCTTCAAAAATGAAATGATAGGGCCAGGGGTATGGTTCAAGTGGTAGAGTGCCTATCCATCAAATGCAATGTCTTGAGTTCACACCTCAGCAATGGTGCCTCCAATGATTAATGATATAACGTCTATATTCCAAGATTTTCCTGGAAAGCAATGTACACGTACTACTTACCAAATTGTCTTTAGCTGGTAGATGGTTTTTCACTTAAAACTGGAAGAACTTATAAAAAAATACCCTTCAATCAAAAAGCAAAACTTTATGGAAACCAGTTAGCAGGAATATGAGAAGTTGTTAGTACTCTAATAATGCTCCAAATATGAAAAGAGCAAGACTTAAAGTTTGTTCAACAGGATATAACTAGGAGAGGAAGTAGTGAGGTATGAGTTCAGGGCCTTGCAAAGCACTCTACCACTTAAGCATGTCTCTAGACCAGTTTGCTTTAATTATTTTTCAGCTCACTTTTTGCCTGTGGCTTCAGATTGGAATCCTCCAACCTATTTCCTCCACATTGTTGGGACAATGGGTCTGTGACAACAGGCCCAGCTGGTGTTAAGATGGTCTCTTTACTTTTGCCTGGCTGGCCTTAAACTACTGTTCTCATGCACTCTGCCTTCTTAGTATCTGGGATTACAGGCATGTACCATCATGCCCAGGTTGGATTTAATTTTTTAAAGCAGAAGTGTGCTACCCAATTTTCGTGGAATTTCATTAGTGAGCACAAGTTCAAACCTTTACTTTAGACTAGAACATATACTAGAACCTGCTACTTCTGAGTCTTTTGATCATTGGTGCACTGGGAAAATTCAGTTTAGTTTTGAAGTGAAATTTCAGGAAGATTTTTAAAACGTCACCCAACTGTTATTGTCTAGCTTCTTGTATTTATCACATTGTGGCCAAATATAATAACGCTATGTGATTAAAAGCTGCATAGTTAAAAGCATAGAGATTTGTTTAAAAGATAAATCCCTGAATCTACTTTCTTGCCATTATGTTGGCCAAGGAGGCATCAAAGAAATATGGGGTCCAAGAGGGCAAGTACTATCTGTGCTAAGAGATATAAGACCAGCATCTTGCTCAGGCCTTATCTGTAGCTTGCAAAGAACCCTGGGGAAGGAGAAGAGGTATGGCTTTGGCAGATGTGCTCTTGCCCATACCAGACTCTCCATCCTCATTTCTGTTCACTCCCTCCCAAATCTTGAGGTGGCTGAATTAAAAGATTATTGTGTTTCTAGAACACAGGACTAAATCAGCCTTTACAAAATTAATGTAATTACTACCTTGATTTCCAGATGTTAACTTAATGTCAGCCTATTAAAACTCTAAAGATGAAGCTCAAAACAAATAAACATTCTGCATAAATACCCAAATAAAGACACACTAGCAAATTCAGTGATAATCTGAGGCGATAGTACAAAACTCCAGAGAGGGCATTTTAGAAATAGATCTCACTATCACTGACTGAGATGACAGAATTTTGTAGGCTTTCTTCAGGTTCTCTTTCCAAAGAACTGCCAAATTTCTAACCCCTCCTAGCCTTTTGTCTTTTTCTACTTTTCCCTCTTTCCTGTCTACCCTCTACCTCTCTCCAAACTGTGTATGGTTTCTTCTGGATATGAATGTTATGTCTCATTAGATCTTATAGTTTTATCATGGATGTAAAGGTCAAGAAAAATAAATCACTGCTCCCGTTTCCTTCCCCAGGCCTGGCGCAGGGCAGGAGGCCCTGCAGGTATACCACCCTTGAAGCTCTGTCTACAACCTGCCTTTACCACTTCCTGACCTTTATCCTTGAGTGTGAATTAGGAAGCGGTCTGCGCTAGGAGTGGTGAGTTGTTGCTTGAATTCTTGTCCACTTTTGAAATACAAAGGGGCAGAGTTCACAGGCACCGTGGCTGGCACATTGCAAAGGTTTGGTAAATGGTATTATTGTTGTTAGCGCTGGGCCTTTTTCTAGTCTCTACTCATATCTGTTGAAATCATTCTTTTTGCTCTATAGGATTAACTTTTTACATCCTAATGGGATTTCATCCTTGTGTTATTTCTTCCTTTCTTTTTCTTTTGTCTGTTGTGGGACTTGAACTCAGGGCCTGGGTGCTGTCCCTGAGCCTCTGTGTGCTCAAGTTTGTGCTCAAATTCTTAGAGCTGGTAAACAAATTGCTTAGTCTGGCATGTCTGGTAAATCAGGATGGACTGGATACAGGAGGCCCAGCCTAGATTTCCCCATGTTTTTATACAGATTAATCTGATTCTTCAACTATATTAGAACTTAGATGTTAGGTATTCCTTGCAAAGCATAGATGGGAATTAGGAGTGGACAGCAGTACAAGATGAACAGTTTAAATCAATGTTTCATTCATTTAAGAAAGTATAAATAGATTTTGTGTGTATGTGTGTATGTCTGTGTCTATGTGTGATGTTTGAGAAAGAGGGAGCAACAGAGAAACGCAGGCAGAAAGAGAATACATGGTGTTCAAACACAAAAATGTTTCTAATGGCCTAGTAAATAAAAAAAAAGTAGCTGTCCCTGAGCTGCTTTTGCTCAAGGATTGCACTGTACCACAGTGCCACTTTTAGCTTTTTCTGAGTGGTCTATTAGAGACAAGTGCCATGGACTTTCCTGCCTGGGCTAGCTTCAACTAAGATGCTCAGATCTCAGCCCTCTGAGTAGTTAGGTTTACATGTGTGAGCCACCCGCACCTGGCTTCCTGTTATTTCTGTAAATTCCTGAAAGGTGAGATGGACAAAAACCCAAGTTACAACTCACCAGCTTATAGTCAGACTCTAAGTGACCAATTTCACATGATTCATTTTTTGGTATTAGAGTGTTTTACAATTGTTGTTAATTTAATCTTATTATACTTTTTTTTTTGTTGGTTGTGGGGCTTGGACTCTGGGCCTGGGCACTATCCCTCAGCTCTTCAGCTCAAGGCGAGCGTTCTACCGCTTGAGCCACAACACCACTTCTCGTTTTCTAGTGGTTTATTGGAGATAAGAGTCTCATGGAGTTTCCTGCCCTGGCTGACTTTGATCCTCAGATCTCAGCCTCCTGAGTAGCTAGGATTACAGGCATGGGCCACTGGTGCCCGGCTTAATCTTATACTTTTTATGTGTTATATTATTTTTTATTATAATCTTTGTAGTAAGTTAATGTCATTTTTATATTGATCCAAGCTCATTTCATGTAATTTTTTTACATCCCAGTTTTAGCTTTTATTGATTTAGCCAATCCACCGAGCAATAGCCAAGCTACAGACTCTTGGAGATAAATTTCTAATTATATGCCTCTCCATTTCTTCACTTTTTTGTTTGTTGGTTTTTCATTTTGTGCCAGTCCTGGGGAAGCTAGGGCTACCACTTCAGCCACAGTTCCACTTCCAGCTTTCTGGTAGTTAATTGGAATAAGAATATCATGGACTTTCTTGTCTGGGCTGGCTTTGAACCATGATTCTGAGTAGCTATGCTTACAAGTGAGAGCCACCAGCGCCCGGCCATTTCCTCTCTTTTTAACATTCTTTCCTGATTTGAAACACCATTCATGAAACAGTTAGAATGTAACTGTTGGAAAATGTACTTATATCATTCAAATTTATTAGCTTCCAACTCACAGTGAGGACATAGAGCTAAATGTCTGTAACTTTTGTAGACTGATACTTTATTCTTCTTCTTTAGGGTTTCAGTTTTTTATTAGTATTATAAAGGTGATATGCAGAGGGGTTACAGTTCTACAAGGCAGGTAATGGACACATTACTTTTTTGGACAGTGCCACCCCTTCCCCCTTTCTCTAGACACTTTATTCTCAAAGGATTTATCTCTACTGATATAAAGGTTTGGAAAACAATCACTGATAGCAACATTCTTTGAGAGGCAAATGAAATCTACTTATTCAATACCTTAAACATCTAAAATCGATTCCATCTAAGCTTGGTCATTTTTATTCCCCCAAGATAAAAATTTATATTGACCAATTCTTAATAACTAAGAAGGTTATTCTGCATAGGAAGTCAAATAAGGAAATATAAAAATGGACTGGTAAACTGTTCTTTTAAATTGATGTATACAGATACATGCATGCCCTTATTAGGAAGGTATGCAATTGTCTACAAACTTATTAATGATTCTTTTTGCTAATGCTGATGAACTGGATAAAAAGATTAGGGGATATCTTATAGCCAATAGCCTCAATGTAGGGAAAACCATTGGCTTTGGTTGGGGAAGAGGGGCACACAGATAAAAGTGATTATACCAGACTCAGTGGTATACTCATAAGGATCTGAACCTCACCCCCTAGGAGGGACCTGGTATATTTTCCATCACAACTGCTCCTTCCACAGCTTTCTCTTACACTGACTCTTGGAAAACTTGTTTTATTGCTTCAATTATTTTAAATTGGAAGTAGTATAACACCTTGCCTGACTGGTTTGGCAACATTCTTTCCTTTCTTCCCCCCTGTGATATTATTAGAACCATTTCCTAAAGAATATGCTTGTCCTTTGAGGAGCTCTGCACTAGCATGTTTAGGACAGCTAGCATTTTCCAGGTTCTTTATTTAGGCTCACTGAGAGGTAGAAGGACCATCCAAAGGAATTCCAATTGTTTGGACTTATACATTTTGCCTATATATAATTTCTCACTTCCTCCTGAGTTCACACAACTTATACTTCTTTGTGACTGAATCACTCACTTTGTTTGAAGTATTGCTACAGAAAAATTGTTAGATTTGGGGTCTTGAGTTGTCTTGCTGATGTTCTAAATGATCAAAAGTAATCCTATTATGCTACACCTTCTTCTGTATTTAAAGCCATTTTCTGGTGTTTGGGGAGAGCTTACCTTGTCTGACGGCTAGGGTAGTGGTATAGACCAAGAAGAGAAGGATGTAGTTGAGGAAACTCTGGAAGACTGGTGTATTGGCATGAAAATCTTCTGACAGGTACTTGCTGGTCAAGCCAATTCCACAAATAAGGAGGGATAACACCTGGCCCAAAGCCACAGAGATTAACATCTCCCTAAGGAATGAAGATAAACATAGCAAAGGTCAGCCAGAAAGTCTATTGGAACAATAGCAATTAAAACATAGGGGTTACCTATAGCAAGTATTAGATTCAAAGCAATCCCTATTATTTCTTTCAGTCCATCATGGCAATTCCAAGAAAGAGGTGTAATTATTAATGAGGATTCACAAAGTTGGAAGTCAAGGCTTAAAGTGGTTAAGGAATTTGGTAACAGTCACATAACAAGAAAATGGCCAAACTTCGATATTAGAACAAGGAAATTGTCTCCTAGATACTGCATCCCAAAGAAATGAACACTACTTTGATACCTACCATAGCGTTAACTGATTGTGTAATGATGCTGAGAAACTCAACACTGGGAGTGACCATACTTTAGCCTCATGTTCAAGTTCATATGTTAATAAAGGGAGAGCCTTTCCTTTATACAGCAGGTCTAGAAAAACCTTTGTAAAAGGGCTATACAATCCCTGAAAATCCAGAGGGACTATCACTTATATACTCCTGGACTTTAGATTTCAATTTGTTCTAGGAAGTTTTAATAAGCATTAGGTCTCAAAGCACTTTTCTTTCTCAAAGCACAATTGCCTATATATTAAAGCTGCTGTTCCTGAAGTCTATTTAGTACTCCAACAATGCAATAAAGCTGTTTGAACTATATAAATCTCTGCTTTGTTTCATAGGCAATATCGCTGTAGATTTGGAGTGGAGAATGGATGCAAAGGTTAACGTGTTCACTTTGCATGGAAATGCAGTTCCACATCAGCTTGATAACAATGCACACACGCGTGCTCTGACTTGAGGAAAGCACATATAAAATACAAAGCCGACTTCTGTCCTCCCTGGAAGTCTCAGCTGACTTTTCTAGTTTATTTATAGAAACAGCAGTATAAAGTAAGAACCAGTAGCATTTCTAAACAGAAAAGCTTCAGGCAGAGGATTTGTGGTGATATGTATTTTCTCCATGACAGATGTGAAGCCATTTTTTTTTTTGAAGGAGCCCAGAGTCTTGGCAGTTGTCGGATGGTATTTGATTTAAAACAATCACTCGTTATGCTTTCGTTTGGTTCTATAAGGAGGAAAAATTATGTCAAAGCCTGTAGGCCCTTGGAGGGTACTTTCCTGACATATACCTATTGCCAAGTATTGGTCCCTGATCACTGAATCCAATGTCTACAAGGAGTTAAGACATATTTTTTAAAACACGCCTGTTCGAATCATCAATATGCTACTTAACATCCTTATTGAATGCAGTGATCTATGTAGAAGCCTTTGGTAGAAGACATTTTTAAAAAGTTAACGGTCAATATTCCCTTTACATTCATTTGGTTCAGCTCAAGGGAGGTCTATTTCTCCTTTTCTGGAGGCCAAACTGGTTTGTGCCTTGCTTTGCCTGACAGAGCATAGAGGAAGGGGCTACGTGACTTCTGGGTCTAAGTATTAAGAAGCTTGTCGCCTTCCACAGTGTGCCCTTCTAGGAAATAAAAAAGCATGTGGCAGGTACATGGATAATTGTGAAATCACAGAGAAATGACGTGAAAAGCTCAGCCAGCCCTTGCTGCCTCAGCTGACATGCCAGGCATATAAGTGGACATTCCAGATCCTTCTACTTCAGTAAAAGTATGCAAACCAATGCCACATGGAGGAGAGATAAATCATCCCCAGAGATGGTTGCCCAATCTGTGAGAAAGATAAAACGAGGTTGGTTTAGGACATGCAGTTTCACAGTGGTTATACGCAGCAGATAAATGAAATGGTAGTGTAATATCTCTCTTCCTCTCTCTCTCTCTCTCTCTCTCTCTCTCTCTCTCTCTTCGTTCACCCTGTATTATTCCTCCATGAAGCCAGAGTGCCACCCTCATGGAGTTACTTGTACTTCAACAGTGAGTCAATGGCTTCTTTGCATAAGTTATTATTTCCAGAATGCTCATCTTCATCACGTCCTTACCAGTCTGACTCCTACTCATCTGTCAAAAATTGCCTCATCTGTCATCCTCTTTGAACAGCCTTTCCTGCTTTCTCTCCCCTGGGATATATCTCCTTCAGTGTTTCTATCTCATTTCATGGTAAAGATTGCTTTTCTGCTTTTGACCTTCGCTACCCTATGAAGTCTGTGCAATGTTCTTCAGTGCAGCTACAGTCAGGCAAAGCCACTCAGAGGGAGGAGAAAGCGAAAGATTCAAAGAATGACTTATAAGAATGACAGGTTAATTGAGAAAGAAAAGTCAGTGGTGCTAAAGGATATAACTCACTTAACCTGTGGACTGCTTGCCTCACAGAGGTCAAACACACCCACAGAAAGGTAGAGATAATCGGAGGAATCAGAACTGGAAACTCACGTATTTTTAAGGCTAAGAGAAGTGTAGTACTAATAAGTCTGTTCCAGGTATACTGAATTTGAGCTGCCACATGAACTTCCAAATGATCCAGCAGTATTAGGAATGTGGATCATAGGCTGGATAGGAAGGTGGGCAAGAAGACAAATAAGCAGAAGTTATACTAATAAAAGGGATGGCTAAAGTATTGGGAAACAAATAGTATCACCCAAGAAGGGAGAGATCAAGAGAAAATAAAGAGTCCAGGAAAACTTTTGGGAAATTCTACGGCTGTGATTGGAAGAGGGAGAAGAGTCACATTACTAGGGTCAGAAGCCATTACAGGGTTTTGTCAAAAACTCAAGAAAACAGAGATATTCATAGAGGAAATCATTGTTATACTAAATGTGGCTTTGAGGGTAGAGAAAATGAGAAGTAGCAAGAGATTATTTGTAGTAACTACCTGTCTTTAAAAGTTTTTGAATGCCAGAGTAAAACTGGTATCATGGAAACAAGGGTAATCCATGGGATGCCTAGTGTTTACTGAGTAGATAGGAAGTGGTAAGAAATACTTCGTAGCATTCACAGAATTTTTGAAGATGTTTTATCTAGTCACCATGTAATATGATACTAATCATAATAGTTTAAAGAAGGATTTCAATGATTTAAACATTTACAGTGCACATATAATTGTCTTATTCTTGTACCACTCTGGATTATTTTCTTAATAACTTCAATCCATAAGTGGAAGAGATTTGAGAAGAGATACAGCTCTTATAGCAGAGCTGTTTCTAGACAGTACTGATCATCCCCATTCCCAGTGGGGAGCGCTGCATACAGAACATGTCTCCTTGGAAAATGCAGCCCCAAACTACTGCTATGACCTTGTAATTCCTACAGTTTTAAGATTACAATCATAAATCCAAAACTTCAGTAACATCTGGCCCTTTTCTAAACAAAATTAAGACAATATTTTAGACTACTTATATAGAAAAATAAAATTTTTAGTCTTTCTTGTCTATTTGCAGACATTCTATAAAACAATGCAATATACCATATATACCAAAAGTGCAGAAGACATAGTCCTTATCATTAGAGAGCTGTTGAACTAAAATTTTGGAAGAAAGAATCCCAAATAACTTAGCACAAAATGGGGGCAATTAGGTAAAGTATCAACCATTATTTATATTTAGTAAGTTCTTACTATGTGCTAAAGCCTAGGTTTAAACTTACCCTACTATCTTGTCTGATCCTCAGAATAAGCTTACATGGAAGACACCATTATTGTTCCATCTTAACTGCTATAAAGAGAAGATAGGGAGGTAGCCCAGGGTGAAGGAGATACTTCCCTTTGCACTTTTCATTCTGGGAAGCGTTTAGATGCAAACTAGGTAATAGAATTCCATGTCCCAACTGCTACATCCCAGCTATGACAGATCATCATTGTTTGGCCCAAATCTCTACTCTCATAGAGTGTACACAGCAGAGACCTAAACCAAGAGGCTAGTTTCCAGAAACATTTTGGAGAAGGTAAAAAGAAAATAAAGCAACAAATTAACAAAAAGGAGATCAGCTGATCTCTGATGAAAAATCTCCTACCAAGGTATCAGTATAATGTGTGCCTTGACAACAAGTGGTCAACACAAGCCTATTCTTGTTTCTTTAGCCAAATGCAACAGCAAATCTGCTGTGTACAATTGCTGCTTTTAATTAGTGGTCATGTCATTCAGTTGCTGTTAATGTGATTTGATAGAGAATGCACAGTATGCTTTTATGGGTCAAGCTAATGAATATAATGTGTAGAAGAGGAAGGAGTGGAAGGAACCTGCTGTCAGATTAGCTCACACATCCTTTCCTAAAAGAAAGGAGCTAGACACTATAGCTATTATAGCTTGCATGTCTTGAGTCAGTTACTAGAATCATCAAAACAAAATGAAGCATAAACTAAAATATCCAAATGTTAACACTGTGCTATTTCCTCTGCCCTGACATTGTGCCCTCATCAAACTCTCTTTTCCTTTCACTAGGACAGGATAAAAATTCATTTGATGATATCTTTGTACAGAGATGTCTCTATTATCTATTTTAGGGATCTCTTTAATTCATTTACTATTATATATTCTAACTACTGCTTTTTACCCAGCCCCCCCAATTTGGCTTCTCAAGTAATAAACACAGTTAAAATTTGGTCTCTTTAACTAACTCCTCATAGCCTCATGGCATTATCTTGTTCAGATAGCTTGTTGGCCACTCTGTGTTCCACAAGGCTGTTAACTGTCCCCATCTATATGTCCTTATCTCTGCCTGCACACATCATACATTATAGCTCCTGAGCTCCTAAATAGAAGGGAATGTTAATTACATCTCTGTTCCTAGTGCCTTGAGAACTGTCAGACAGAAAGGAAACAGATGCCCAATAAGCATAGACTGAATGAATCTATGGGTGAGCAAGTGTCTGTGAATCAAAAGGGAAGAGTCTTGAAAGATTTGAAAGATGGCTGCTTATCTTCAAAACCCACTGGCTTTAAAAGACAAAAAATAATCTAATTTTTACTGTATCCCATCTGCCAGTTAGACACTGAGATTAATACGCTATTTTCTAGTACATTCTCAAACAAGCCTGGTAAGGTGCTATCTTGCAAAAATGAGGCTAAATAAGGTACAGAGTGAAATTGTAGCTGT